ATCCCCCTCACATCATATTCGGTTTCGGGGGAGTACCCCCTTATATATCTATGAATGTGGTAGAGAAAATAAGAGGTAACATTATAAGAATTTATTAGACGTTAACCAAACATCTTGTAGCAATGAGTTTCTGGACCTGGGGGATTAGGACCACAGTCTCAGAGACACCGGGGTAAACTGGCACAACATAGCTAGTGTTCCACATTCTACTTCGGTGAGTAGCGACTGAGATCTCACAAGCTTGTGATCAGTCATCTAAGGTACAACTATTGATTGGTCTCTCCTTATCTGGAAAGAAGAAGAATGAAGGAAACTGAAAACCCATGAAACCAATTAGTCCAACATACATTAATGGACCAAAAGGTCTTTAAGGAATCACATTAGAAGGTCCTGAATACAGAGAGGAAAACAGTGGTAGAACATGCAAAATCATAAAAGAGACCAGGATTTCTGGTTGGCTAGAAACTAGTAGATACCTTGAGAATATAGCTATTCGTTACCCATTGAAGTCTGAAGATGCAATCACCCCCTGGCTTAATTTTCAGTCAAACAACAGGCACATTATATAAAACAGGCACAATAAAAGAATGAAATAAAATGTGTATGAACTCTTGAATGGAAAAGTGATCTACTCTGTACATTTTCACTCAATTCACACCAAAAAAAAACAGCTAAAGAAAAGTTGGAAAAAGAAATGAAGTCAAATTCTATTGGGATTTTAAATTTTAAAAACTGTATTCTCAAGAGACAGAAAATTGACTGGGAGCAGGGTAATGAATGGGATGATGAGACAATTGATAAGCATGGTCTTAGGATTCAAAACCAAACACATTGCCATCAAGTTAATGTTGACATGTAAAAACCCCATAGGACTACCCCTGTGAGTTTCTGAGACTACAACTGTTTAGGGGAGTTAAAAGCCCATCTTCCTCCTGAGGTGGTTTAACTACAGACCTTGCGGATCATAGCCCAACATGTAACCACATCAAAAACAGTGCTCCGGGTTTTAGGGCATTCCCCATTATTTTATGTAATGTTCTTCTCTCCTTGCCATCACAAGAAGAGACTCCGACACAAACTTACAACCTGTTAATCAACATAATATATGAATACAATACTAAATCTTGCCAAACAATTAATAATGCCACAGCTGTTCCTTGATACATTCCTCAGTGACACTTCCCAAAGGCAATATAACTGTCTTAGGTATTTCTTCTTGTGGTTACACCATACCTCTAAAATACGGGTCATGCTATTTCTTGAATTAGCGCTTATAATTATGATCTATAAACTACTACTATTATAACTAACAATATGCATAACTCAAAGTGTTTTATGTATATTGATTTATTGACTTTTAACAATATACCAGTAAATGAATGTTTTATCATTTTCATTTTACTGATGAGGAAACTGAGAAATGATCTAACTAGCCCAGGTTACAGAGTGCACAGAGCAAGCAGAGCAGCTCCAGAGCCTTTCCTCTTAAGGACTGAATTGTATAACTACTGCTTTTCATAATAAGTGAAGATTCATCTCTCTTACACCACTCTTTTCCCTCACTTCTAGGAGTTTCAGTTAAATTGATCTCATCATAGATACAAAAATATTACTTATAGAGATCAAGTAGTCTAACATAACATATCCTTTCTGATGAAGCTTCTTTGTGTTCTTTGAGATACTGTGGTCAATTTTGCTAAGCCATGATTCCTAATATTGTAAAATTATCTTCCATTTTCTGCTGTGTTATATATTCTAACTGCTACCTGTAGTTAAAGAGGTAAGATTAGGACATGATAAAGAAGATGAGGATATGGTTTCTGGTGCCAGGTGGTTATTGGACTGCTAACAGCAAGGTCAACCCATCTTGTCGAGGGCCTTTCTCTTTTTGGTGCCCCTCCACTTTACCAAGCATGATGTCCTTCTCCAGAACTGGCCTCTCCTGATAACACGTCCAATGTATGTGAGATGAACTTTTGTCATCTAAAAAGCATTCTGGATGTGCTTCTTTCAAGACAGATCTGTTTGTTCTTTTAGTCCATTTAGTTTCAATATTCTTTGACAACACTGTAGTTCAAATGTATCAACTTTTCTTCAGTCTTCCTTGTTCAATGTCCAACTTTCATGTATATATGAGGGAAGTGAATACCATGGCTTGAGTCACGCATACATTAGTCCTCAATATAGCATCTTTACTTTTCAACACCTTAAAGAGGTCTTGTGGAGCAGATTTACCTAAAGCAATGTGCCTTTGACCACTTGACAGCTGTTTCCATGAGCACTGATTGTGGTTCTAAGCAAGACAAAAGCCTTAACAACTTCAATCTTTTCTTCATTTATCACAGTGTTACCTATTGGTCCAGTGGTGAGGATTTGGGTCTTCTTTACATTGAGATGGTATCCATACTGAAGGCTGCAGTCCTTGATCTTCATCCATAAGTGCTTCAAGTCCTCCTCACTTTCAGCAAGCAAGGTGTGTCACCTGCATAAAGCAGTGTGTTATTAATCCTTGCTCTAACCCTGATACCAACATTCTTCTTCATAAAATCTAGCTTCCCTAATTTGTTCAACATACAGATTGAACAAGTATGGTGAGAGAATACAAACCTTGACACACATCTTTCCTGATTTTAAACCATGCAATATTCCCTTGTTCCATTTATACAACTGCCTCTTGGCACATGTACAGGCTCCACATAAGCACAATGAAGTGTTCTGGAATTCTCATTCTTTTCACAAACTATGCATAATTTGTTGTGATTCACATAGTCAAATACCTTTGCATAGACAAGAAAACACAAGTAAACATTTTTCCAGTATTCTCTGCTCAGCCAAGATCCATCTTCTATCAGCAATGATATACCTTGATCCATGTCCTCTTCTGAATCTGGCCTGAACCTCCCATAGTGGCAATGTATGGCTACAACTGTTGTTGGATGATCTTCAGTAAAATTTGCTTGCACATAATAACAATGATATTGCTCTATAATTTGAGTGTTCTATTAGGTCATCTTTGTTTGAAATGGGTGTAAATATGGATCTCGAACAACTTTCTTGGCACAGGCAAGTGAGTGCTTCCAGTACTTCATCAGTATGTTAAAATATTCCACTTATTCCATCAATTCCTGCAGCTTTGTTTTTGGCTAATTCCCTCAATGCAGCTAGGACTTCTTTCAGTACCATTGATACTTGATCATAAGCTACCTCTTAAAATGGCTGAACATCAATTAGGTATTTTTGGTACAGTGACAGTATTCTTTCCATCTTCTTTTGGTCCTTCCTGCATTATTCATGTGGCATAAAACCAAAAATCAAACTCTACCATCAAGTCCGATGCCAATTCATAGTGACCCTATAGAACACAGTAAAACTGCCCCTATGAGTTTCTGAGACCGCAACTATTTACAGAAGTAGAAAGCCCTGTCTTTCTCCCAAGGAACACTGGTGGTTTCAAATTGCTGATTGTGTGGATTACAGCCCAGCTAGTAACCACTATGCCACCAGGGCTACCTTCATGTAATATAGGTTTCAGAAATTTTTAAAATCCCTTCTTTGAGCAACAAAGCCCGCATGGTAGAAGCATACCAGCCTGTGTGACCATGAAGTGTTGAAGGGATCAGGTATCAGGCATCAAAGAACAAAAATTCCTATCATTGTGAATGAGGGGGAGTGAAGATTGGGGACCCAAAGCCCATCTGTAGGCAACTGGACAACCTCTTACAGAAGGGTTGCTGGGAGGAGACGAGACAGTCAGGGTGCATGCAGTGTAGCAACGATGAAACATAAAACTTTCCTCTAGCTCCTAAATGCTTTCTCCCCGCCCCCACCCCACTATCATGATCCCAATTCTACCTTACAAATCTGGCTAGACCAGAGGATGTACACTGGTACTGACAGGAACCAGAAACACAGGGAAGGCAGGATAGATGATCCCTTTAGGACCATTGGTGAGAGTGGCAATACTGGGAGGGTGGAGGGAAGGTGGAGTAGAAAGGGGGAACTGATTATAAAGATCTACATATAACCTCCTCCCTGGGAGATGGACAACAGAAAAGTGGGTTATGGGATACATCGGACAGTGTAAGATATGACAAAATAATAATTTCTAAATTATCAAGGGTTCATGAGGGAGGGGGAGCAAGGTGGGAGAGCGAAAAATGAGGAGCTGATACCAAGGACTCAAGTAGAAAGCAAATGTTTTGAGAATGATGAGGGCAACAAATATACAAATGTGCTTGACATACAATGGATGTATATATGGATTGTGATAAGAGTTGTAAGAGCCCCCAATAAAATTATTTATTAATAAAAAAATCCCTTCTTTAGTAGCCAGAGGGGATATATGATATCACGAGTGAGTGTTTTACCTTAGTTTACACTGAATACATTTTGCACTATAAATTGGTTAGTTTTGTATTAACTGTTGTTTGTGGTCATCTATGACTTCTTTCCTACCCTCTTCATTATTACAGTTAAACCACAGTCAAAAACACACATGCGCACTGGCACATACACAATTCTAACCATCGTAGGTAAGTAATAAGATTTTTTTAAATCTATTTATAATACATATGGTAAGATATTCATGTGTTTTTTTTCATGTAAAACAAACATAACAATTTATCATACATATTAATTTTACAACACTACAATGCTGAAAGTTAGTTCACTTTAATAAGAAAAATATCAAGGAATTTATATTATGCCTAAAATAAAGCAATAATTATTTTAGCTCTTTACTCACAAAATCTCATTCTGTCTTCATGCAAAATTACTGGGGCTCAAAAATTTTATACTATTAAATATCACATTTTCTATAAAATAATATCTGTAAAGTAGTTTACCTTCTACTACTACATAATAAACAAAGAAAATAATTATTCAAACGATAAAGCATCATATAAATTTATATTCAGAAATGCTGAAGAGCTAGTAGAGTATGTTCATCTACGTTTCTTCATTTATTTATGTTTTGAAATATGTATTTTATATAATCTTACCTCTGCTGGGTGCTGAATTATGTACAAATTGGTAGAGATGTGTAGAGGATGCACTGGTAGAAATGGACATAAGCATACTTTCAGAGGTCGGCTAAAGGGTAAAAAGAAAAGAAACCCTGTCAATATTAAAAATACAATGATATAACAGTAATATAAAACTCGAACATTATACCACTAGGTTGTATAAGAGATTTGTTAAATTCTTTAACAGGCTAAATTCTTTAAAAAATGAAATGCCAAGACTTCAGACACAGGAGTATGAATTTTTTTCAAGTAAATTCTTTACCATATTGTAGTATTAAATATAAAAAAATAATGACCCAGAGGGAGGTGGAGGGGCCAGCCCCCACCCGCTGCTACTCCTACGAGTTCAGTAATACTACTT